CCTCGCGATATAAAATGGAATTGGATGCTTACCTTACGGTGTCAGCTTGCTGATAGGCATCATATTTAATCATCACGATCAATCTCACGTGACTGTTAGTGCCTGATGACGCTATTCACAGCCACATATTTTTGCCTCGACATCACGATCGAGCCACATGAAAGTCCATGCCTGATGAGCGCTATCCGGTCTTCAGTGGCCACCCGCACATCCATGAGCGCTTGCAAGAAACTGCATTGTGACTAAGTCTGGAGCACCCTCTATGGACATTCTCTCACCAATTTTTGTGAAGACTGCAGTGGATATTGAGCGATGAGGAATGCGAAGATGTCAAAGCTAAGTAATCTGAAGTGAAAGACCAAGGAAGTAAGGATAGTGTTGAATCCAGGATGGATGCATGAAATTGGCCAAGTCAAATCACACCATTAGTCACACCATAACATCATTCATTGAATGCTACAAGCTACATTTAGAGCAAGTACATTATTTTTTTGATGGATGCTGCACAACAAGACCTAACTGTGCAGTAACTCCAAAAAGGTCAAGAAGATCAAGAAAACAAGGGCGGAACGCCTCACGACAAGAAGGTATAAGGCTAGCAAAAACAGACAGCATGATAATATACTAGAGTAACAGCCGGTGGCCCCTACTTTGTCCTTACTTTCTTTCTCATGTGACCTCGTTGAGATGATGGGCGGCTACCATCATTCTCCTTCTGCTTCTCACCAACCATCTGGCTCTTTGTGCATGCCTGCCTGCTCTGAGTCTCAACAGATGGCAACGTCTTCTGCTTCCAAGGCAGTGTAGCATCTGCACATGCAGGCTTTTTCAAAACTCGCTTCGGATGGCCTTCTTCCAACAAAGGAGTGCCTGAGTCCTCAGCCTGGCCTACGTTATGTGATTGTCTCGAAGTTGTTGGCATAGGTGGTGGGTCTGAAATGGCCTCAGTTGGACCCACAGCAGCAGCCTCCGAAGAGATTCCTTGCTCATCTTCATTTACAGGAAGTGCTTCCGAGGAAAGCCCTCGCACATGCTGAAGCACCATCGTTGGGGGGGCCTGCACAGACAGGTGATTGTGCCATGCATCCAGTTGCAACACCAACAGGTAAAGGCGGAGATGGGTGTGATGATGACAATGGGGGGTTGAAGCCATGCAGGAAAGGAGTCAGAGTGAACAGCAGTCGAGTCGAGTTCGAGGAATGCTGGTGCATGAGCATTAGATCAGATGCGGATGCTTCCTGTGTGCTGGGTGCAGCGGGGTTGAAGGATGGTGGTATAGCTACGTTCAGGATATCCAGGTCAACATCAGGCAATCCATCCATGTTGATATTCATCGTCGATAGCCTGATATTATAGAAAAGAGAGTCAGAACTCCGCAGGAGGGGGGTGAAAATTCATTGCATCAGTCAACGTGCATGCGTGTGAAGCATCCCGCTGAATCATAGGTTGTCGGCTGGTCCATGCACCACTCACACTGCTATAGGCATTCATGCTTGGTTCCACTGAATCCACAGTGGTGGCAGTGGCAACAACATTTGGGGATGAGGGGTATATCTCCTGAGACGATACAGAAGCCATCGAGGAGGATGGCAGCATTACGATGGCAGGCATGGATGCAGCTTCACGAGAAACCAGAAGTGATTGGTGGCAAAGCTTCAATGGCAGGGAAGGATGTTAAACAGCCATATGAGGTGTGATATGTAAAGACAAAGATGTGTTTAG